TCCATTATCATCTGGTACAAAAAGGCTTCTGTCAGGACACATTTTCCCACTAATTCTGTGATCTTTTATCCTAATTTCTGGCTGTTTCTGCATCTTTCCAGCCTCACTTTTGAGTTTATGCTACATTTCAAGTTGAACTGATCATCTTTGAGCTGGTTCATAACAGAAACTTCTGTCAGAAACTGAAAACTCAGACAGTCCCCCCACAAATGGAGGAATACTGACCATGTCCGGCTCCCACAGGGACTCGCACATGCCGTACATCTGCTCCGAGCAGGTCCCGCTGACCACGAAGTCCTCCGTCACCATGGGGCAGCCGATCAGGTCCAGGGAGCAGATGAAGGGCTCCAGGTTTTTGGGGTCCAGCCCCGCGATCACCGGCTCGATGTAGTAGGGCCCGAACCTGCAGGGGGGGGAGTTAGTGCTGAGGGAGGGGGGCCCCAGAGGGGCCAAACTGGGGCCTCTGAGGGGCCAAACCGGAGACTCAGAGGGGCCAAAGCGGGGCCTTTGAGGGCCTCAGAGGGGCCAAACTGGAGCCACAGAGGGGCCGATCTGGAGACTCTGAGGGGCCAAACTGGGGCCTAAGAGGGGCTGAAGCTTTGGAGCCTCAGAGGGGCCAAAGCATGGCCTTAGAGGGGCCCCAGAGGGGCCAAACTGGGGCCTCAGAGGGGCCAAACCGGGGCCGAACTGGAGCCTCAGAGAGGCCGAAACATAGCCTCTGAGGGGCCAAACCAGGGCCTTAGAGGGGCCAAACCGGAGTTTTAGAGGGGCCAAACCGGGGCCTCAGAGGGGCCGAACCGGAGCCTCGGAGGGGCCGGAGTGGAGACTCAGAGGGGCCGAAGCTTCGGAGCCTCAGAGGGGTCAAACCAGAGACTCTGAGGGACCAAACTGGAGACTCTGAGGGGTCGAAAAGGAACCTCAGAGGGGCAAAAACGGGGCCTCAGAGGGTCCAAAGCGGAGCACTCACCTGCGCTCATACAGCAGGTTGGACACCATGCTCATGAAGGTTTTGGGTTTGATCTGCCGGCCCTCCTTCAGCTCGTACAGGTTCAGTCTGAACTTCAGCCTCTGCGCTCTGGACACAAGACAGACGGGAATTACACTCCTCCATCCAGGACAACCAGAGGTCCAGAGACTCAGAGAGGGGTCACTCACACTGTCTGGACATCAGTGGCCAGCCCGGCCAGCCCGATGTACAGCCGGTCCCCCATGGGGAAAACCTTCTGGAA